TTACAGACACCGTGAGTGAGTGTGATTCACGATTGAATTTTTCCCCGTGAGTGTGAGTGAGCGTGAAAATTTTTGTCGTGAACGTGAGTGAGCGTGAATGAAAATTGTCCAATTTACCGACACTAATGTGGACTACCTGTTGGCCAACACAGATCTCAAAGTAGTTGTATATACGGGTCAATTGGATCTAATAGTGGACACATTGGGAACACTTAATTGGGTTCATTCGCTCAAATGGCCAGAATTGAAGAACTGGGAAACAGCAAAGAGGCAACAAATGAGCGGCGGTTACGTTAAGACACATAAGAATTTCTCTCTCTATTGGATTATCAAAGCCGGACATATGGTTCCCACCGATGCTGGAGACACAGCCCTCGCAATGCTTCACAAAATCATTCAGTCATAGATTTTTAATAGAATTAAATGTCTATNATCATTCAGTCATAGATTTTTAATAGAATTAAATGTCTATAAACTCCTGAATTGTAATCAATTATGTCTATTTAATTATTATATTAAATCATAATTATATTTGCATCATTTATATGTTTTGATAGATTAAGTATTTCATATTTAATTAATTAAAATATTAATAAACTCTAATAAGAACTAATTATTTTTAATGAATTACTATTATTATAGATTTCTGTTACAAATTTATGAATGTAATAAAAATAAAGTTATTTAAATTCTAAAATTAATAATTATGTAAACTTATTATTTCTAAACAAAGTTTTTCTAAACTTTATATTTCTAACTTTATATCCATTTTATACAATATGTAATATTTTTAACAATTTAGGAAAAAATTCTGGTTTTATGGGATCATAATAAATATTCCATAAGTCCAGTATTTTTTATAACCAAGTTTGAAGTTAAAAAATGTTATCAAGTTAATATACTGGGATTTGTAAACTAAATATTGGTTGCTTCATTATGCTTCAAAACAAAATTGATAATTAATTATATAAAAATTAACGTTGTTTACAATTAATTAATTAACATTTTAAAACTATTTTATATAATATGGCATTTTGAACTGTATTATTAAATTTGCAATCATATACCTGATACACTTATTAATTGACTTAATAATAATCTATTAGATATTAGTAGAAATAATGCACTATATTGTATAATACAGTACTTGTGGTACAGTATTGCTGAATCCAAAGGTTCATCAAAAATTACTTGACATTGATTTAAAAAACAATTGAAAATATCAGCTATTTTAACGATAAAGTATCGACATTTCAAAGTCTTTTTCACATTTAATAAGGTAAATATTGGGAAATAGTTAACTTGAGTTTCTATATTATAGAATCTATAAGTTAAATCCTGATAAAATCAAAACAATTTTCTTTATTTTCAAGCTTAATAACTGAATCATATATCAAACTTACCATATTATAGATTCTCATAACGTGTAAATTTATCAGCCTATCAGTGCATATGGTCCACGAATCCAAGAGTATATATTGATTTGATTCAACAAAATAATTATTCGTTCAGCAATTTTTGAATTTTGTGTATTTAGAAATTAAAACATTAAAATGTTTTTTAAATTATTTTCGTTTGTATTTTTGGCGTACACTTTGTGCATAACTAATGGTAAGAATATTTTGACAATACGTAACAGTAATTTCAATAAATTTAATAATTATTTATATATTCTGTTATACTTAGGAAATAAAGTGGAGGCATATAAGGAGTCATACGGTTATACAACTGTACGTCCGGGCGCTCACATGTTTTCGTGGCTTTTCTCACCCAATACTGGCAATAATTCCAATGCACTTCCGCTCGTTATATGGCTTCAGGGTTTGTCTATTGAATGCAATTTTTAAATAATCAATAATTAAATAAATGATAAATGAATTGTTAAACAGGAGGTCCGGGTGCGAGTTCTGCCGGTTATGGAAACTTCAATGAAATCGGTCCGTTAGACGCAGATCTCAAAGTGAGAAACACTTCATGGATTAAATACGCAAATCTGCTATTCATTGACAATCCCGTGGGTTCGGGATATAGTTATGTCGACAACGCAAGTCTATACACAAAGACTAACGATGAGATCGCCAAAGATTTAGTAACTTTTATGAAAGAATTCTACAAAAAGTCGCCAGAATTTGAGGTAAAAATATTATTAATTTAATTCATTACAAATAAATATAACAAAATTTAATATTTGAATTCTAGTCAACGCCATTGTATATCTTCTGCGAGTCATACGGCGGTAAAATGACCCCAACTTTTGCCAAAGAGCTGCATCGGGCCATTCAAAACAAAGAGATCAAGGCCAATTTCAAGGGCATTGCTTTGGGCGACGGATGGGTCTCACCCATAGACTCGGTGGGCACGTGGGCACAGTATCTCTACACTTTGGTATGATTACAACAAATTTACATTAAATCACTTTATTATTAATCAATTGTTTTATAAAGTCATACATCGATAGAAACCAAAGAAATCAAATCGAGGCCAAAGTTGAAGAGATCAGAACCTCTCTTAAGAATGCCAAATACATTGAGGCAACCACTCAGTGGTCACAATTGACCCCTTTTATCAGATCCCTCGACGGCGATATCGACTGGTATAATGTAATCTTCGGATCAAATTTTCAATCGAGTTCAAGATATCTGAATCAAATTAACTCACTTAATAACATACCACACAAAAATAGTATTGTTAGACATTTGGCCAAATATCATAACAATAATTTGGACGCATTAATGAACGGTCCCCTTAAGACCAAACTTAAGTAAGTAATTATCATCAAAACAAACATGTGATAAGTTTGTGATACAATACTAAATTTATTGTATGTTTAGAATCCCAGAGAGTGTCAAATGGAGTCAATTGTCGGCCAATGTTTTTGCCAACTTATGGGGAGAATTCATGCGCGATATTGTCAGTGATGTGGACTACCTGTTGGCCAACACAGACCTCAAAGTGGTTGTATATACGGGTCAATTGGATTTAGTGGTGGACACATTGGGAACACTCAATTGGGTTCATTCGCTCAAATGGCCAGAACTGAAGAACTGGGAAACAGCAAAGAGGGAACAAATGAGCGGCGGTTACGTTAAGACATACAAAAATTTCACGTTGTATTGGATTCTTAAGGCCGGACATATGGTTCCCGCAGACGCCGGCGACACTGGCCTCGAAATGCTTCGCAAAATTATTCAGTCATAGATAGTTAACTGAATTAAATATCCATAAACTGCTTTATTGTAATTGATCACATTTAATTGTTATACATTATTATAATTATATTTATATCATTTTAATGTCATAATAAATTAAACGTTTCCTAAAATTATTTTTTGTTTGTTTATCTCATTAAAATATCAATAATCTCTATAATATAAAATTATTCCGAGCGTTGCATTTCTTTGTAAAAGCTCTGTTCCTCTCACTCTTTCGCTCTCTCTCTCTCTCTCTCTCTCTCTCTCTCTCTCTCTCCCGCACACATACACACACATTATGAATGTGGAGCAGAATATATGCGAGCGTATGGAGTATATGGTGTGATGTGTGGCGGAAATAGTCCTGACACGAGTCGATCCGACGTCTCGCTCACAACACAATCCCAAATAGAGAACCGACCGAAAAGCCAACGCAAAAACCTTTTGCTCTCTATTTTCTCTCTCCCATTAATGCAATACTTACGCAACGAAACTATTTCTCTCTCACTCTTGTATAATAGACACAAAAGTATTTTCTCACTTTTCCATACCATTCCTCTCACTCTCTCTGTGCAAACATTTTATGCTTTTCTGAACAGCTCTGAGATTAGGATTGGGATTGGGTTCTCGGGTCGTGAACTACTTTAGTAAGTGTACCGAAAAACAGAAAGGCATTCATATAAACACAACAAATACAATAATATGGCATTAGAGGGGCTGTGGGCTGTGCCGTGCAATCGGTTCATACATTCACACAATGCTATACTCTTTAGTACTTTTTTGCACTCTCTATATGTGTGTCTCATCAGTATTTGCGACCGAAAATCTACAGATTTACACTTTGGCTGTCCTTTTGTTTGCGACGGCTCTTAAGCCGAGCCCAGACCCGGGCATCACATATTGGACGCCACATCCCAGGCATCACAGCTTTTAGTGATCACAATTTGCGATATCTCTGTTCCCTTATATGTCCACAAATTACAATTCATTGAGACGTGAAAATCTCGAGTATATCTGCCGTTCATAACGGGAACGTGTGTTTAATATTACGACAATATTTAATCACTCGGAGAGAGAGAGAGAGAGAGAGAGAGAGAGAACATGGATAGAAAATGTGTCGAGATTTAGGAATTATCTCAGGGCTTCCCTCACATCAAACACTATTGAGAGAGAGAGAGAGAGAGAGAGAGGCTGTGATGACAGGAATACTGGCTATAAGTAACAGTTCCGTAAAGTAGTGATCAAAAGCGACTAAAGCTGTGAACAAAATCTAATACGAAATGAGAGATTCATATGAAAAGTGCGACAAAACCATAACATTTGGGAGATATACTCATATCTATGACATACTATAACAAAACACACACACAAAGGGATTAATCACAGCTGTATTTATACATATTGTGTATCGAATAACATATAATAAATCTGAACCGCAGAATAAATTAATGAAAAAACTTTTTATTTCATAACTAAATATTGAAAACAAAAACGTAAAAAATACTATTTGTTTGTCTCATATCTGAAGTTTAGATAAAACAAAACGAAAAAATAGCATAAAATTTATGCATAAATTATGAGAAGTAGAGAAAGAGATATAAAGAATGAACAAAAAGCATAAAAATTGCTGAACATCTCAGAGATATATAAAGAGCTGACATTTGGTGTTGGGATTGAAAGACAATCTTTTTTCTATAGCCATCAGACTATAGCTATCAAAAGAGGTTATGTTATTTTTTGACATTTCATTCAAAATCTTTAATCTCCCGCTGTATTGATCTCCGAGAGAGAGAGAGAGGGTTGCGGAGAAGAGGAGCAGTCGTTTATCGCCCGGCGCAGGAGTGCCGGCGGCGCCTGATTTCGCTCCACACCCGACCGGAAAGCGTTCACAACACGAATCTATTGGTGGCGTTAGTAATGGCGACAGGGATTCCGGTGCCGATCACATCCAGAGGTTGTGTTTGTTGTCAGCGATAATAATGGGGAGAGAAGTGGGAGAGAGCGGTGAGAGAGCGGGAGAGAGAGAGAGAGAGAGAGAAAGAGAGAGAGAGAGAGAGAGAGATTTCTTTTGCGCTTTGGCTTTTCGTGCCATAGAATCGCATCACATGAAGAAGAGGTAGTCTTTTCTCTACTCCGGTATCACATTTGATGGCATCCAACAGTGATCTGTGACATAACATCACGATATATACTGGATATGTGTACAGCCATAAGCACTATTAACCAGTGCCAGTGTGTTTGGGCATACGATAGGCAGTGTTGCAGTGGCATCGGTGGGGACCCGCACCCAAAAATAATCAAACATTAACCTTTTACTTAAATTGTGCTCTCTCTCTCTCTCTCTCTCTCTCTCTCTCTCGACTTTAGACAAACCGTTGAGTTTAAAAATATTTCTTCCGTGGATTGAATGGATTGAACGCATGTGCGGCCGATGTTTGCCATTTATACCAATAAGAAATTATGGCTTATTTCAGTCTTCTTATCATTATTGATCGCCATCACAGCCATCGCACCCACTATTCTGCTCTCTCTCTCTCTCTCTCTCTCTCTCTCTCTCTCTCATTCGGTGCCAATAACCTTATCTCACATTCATTTAACGTTAAATATATCACTGACTAAACAGCTTTTTGGGGGCACCGGGAGTATTACATCCATGACTGAGAGGTCCATTGATATCAAAATAAAGGTTTTTAATATTTCCTATTCTCAATGCAAACTCGCAGTACATTATCATTGAATACGACAGCCATAGCCATAGCATTGAGTTTATCTTTGATCAGCAAAAGAGTAGACAACAAAAAAGTCAAACAGAAGAGAATAAATAAATATTTAATACATGTATGAGTTCTGGGTTTAAGTATTTTTTATTTAGTGATACTTTTGATACGTATAGCCGCTAGAGTTCAAGCATTGGTTTCGCTTTTTTCTCTGGCGATAAAAAACAGGTATGACTTTAGGTATGACTCTAAGGATGAGAGCAATTATGAATTATCACAAGAGAGAGGCAGCGGTGCGTCCAATGCATTGCAAATGCGAGACTGAGATCTCATTTTTCATTTCTCTATCACAAATGATACCCGAAATAACATTTCAAAAGTATTATTATTAATAAAACGCGGCAAACATTAAGCGAACACTGAATTTGGGATATTATATGATTGGACCCTAAGTTTAGGTGTAATTTGCAATTTGGACACAAACTGGTGGGACAGACAACACAACCGATTCATTATGTCTTTTACTTTATTTATCGCATTAAGTGCTAACACAAAGAGATTGTTAATATAAAGAGACAGTATTTTGAGACTCTCAATGAAAAGAGAGAAATAATTATAAAAATAATTATTAATTGTAAATATATTTATATTTTTAATGATTTAGAATTTGAATCTTAATCTTAAGGGTTCGGTGAGTAAAGAGAGAGTTAATAATAGATATGTTAAAGTGTTTTGTTTTTGAAGTTAATTGTCAGTGCGGTTACTGTAGTGCTGTTTAAATAGCAATTCTCACAGCAATTCCGATATTAGTCTTGAGACTGAAGGATGGGTGGAGAGAGAGAGAGAGAGAGAGAGAGAGAGAGAGAGGCATTAAATTCCACATCAGATGTATTTCCTATTGATTTGTTGCCTTTCAATCTCTTCAGCAATTTTTTATGATATTTTTTCTTCTTTTCGTTGATTTTTCACCAAATTTTAATCTCAGGGCTTCCCTCACATGCAAACACTATTGAGAGAGAGAGAGAGAGAGAGAGAGAGAGAGAATGGTTGCATTGAATTCAATATCAATCAGTCGTTACAAATTCTAGTGATATTAAAAACAGTAGTCGTCGTTATATTGAGTGATAATAGCGTTTGCCTAAAGTCACAAACAGTTGTGTCCTCTGCTCTGTTCGCTATACCGATAGATATATTGACAGAATATGTACCGAACCGTATGGTATGGGCACTGGTAGTGGTAGTAATGGTATTGTTGTTTCTCAATATAATAATAAGTCGGTCGAGTGGTTGCACTTCATTGAAGAGCACTTCAAGTACTGCTCAATTACTCGCTGCTAAACACAGAAAAGGTGGGCATCGGATGAGACCCTCAATTGTGATCATCGATGACGAGCCCCGGACTCGTATACAGACAAACACAGACACTGTATGAGACATACATTAACCGTGGATTGAATGGATTGAACGCATGTGCGGCCGATGTTTGCCATTTATACCAATAAGAAATTATGGCTTATTTCAGTCTTCTTATCATTATTGATCGCCATCACAGCCATCGCACCCACTATTCTATGCTCTCTCTCTCTCTCTCTCTCTCTCTCTCTCTCGCAATGACTTGAGGCCAGGCATCAAACTGTATTACACAATGAATTGAGTGCCAAAACTCTCTCTTCAATTCTGTCTATCGGCCATTACTATCAGAAAATTTTACTTTTCCTGAGCCAACAGTTTGTGTTTAGTTTGAGTTGAGTTTTTGGTTTGTATTTTAGAGCAGAGTTTTTGGGGATATTTTTGCACGTAATGTCAACTCTCGGGAGATATATCGTCGTCGGAGACACTAGTCATACATACTCTCCGATTGTAAAATCTTGATCGCAACGACTAATAGTTCGTTGCTCTCTCTCTCTCTCTCTCTCTCTCTCTTCTCTCTCTCTCTCCTACTCTTAAATTGGCTTCAATTTTGTGTGTATTTTAAAAATGTGAGCGAACGTGGAGGACGTGTCCCATCAAAACATCAAATCCCAGTTTCTGTTGTCTCTCTCATCTATCGATAAAAAGCATTTTCAATGCGAAACACCATTTCATTTGCTCACTAACTGTGGGTTAAGATTGCGATCAAAAGGCCGCAGAAGTTTCACTACCGTTGAGGACATACCGCTGACTAACAATTAAATCCCAAGCGATTTATATTATGGACAAAATCATGCGAAACACACATTCGATGTCCATTACTATAACTCTCTGTTTTACTCCGCAATGCATTAGGTTTTGATTTTTATCACTAAAAATAAATTTTTACAGATTTTAGTTTGTTTTTAGTTTTATCACAAATTCTGGATATATTTCATCCGCTCTTTTCTATCGTGAAATAT